TTAATCCTCGTCGGGAAGATATGGTTTCTGAAGACATTATATGCCAAATAACAACATTCTGATTCCATGGATTACTACTTGGATTCATTGCATCATCAGATCTCACAATTGAAAAATCACTGTCACCACTTTCAGTTCTTGACCACCGTGACAACTTCCGATTCAGATTACAACCTAAAGTAATTGAAAGTTTAATGTTTTTTTTTTTTAAATTTTTACATCATGCTATTTGAACTAATAACAATGAAAGTGAGAGATGATTGTAAAACATTAATACTTATTAAAAAATCATCTTTACAATCATTGGGATGTGAAGTTTGATTTTGGCCGAGAGTATTTTTAACTTTTGCAATTTAGATGCCGAAACATCGTTTAGATCATACTTAGAAATTTTCATCGTGTTTACTGGCAATTTTTTTTCGGTAACGATTTTTATTGGCTAAATGATATGCTCATCGGTTAAATATTTTACATCTAAAAAGAAGGAAATCTTTCAAATTTGCTTGTTTTTGGACAGAAAAACATTCAGTTGCAAATATTATTACATTTTGAACTGTGTTAATTTTCGTCAAGCATGAGTTAATATTGCTTCCCTTTAATTTCATTACGAGTCACTTCTGAATAAAAATTGAGTAAAAATTCCAATTTTTAAATTTGAAATAGAAATTCATAACATAAAAGAGAGGATTATGCTACGTAATTAAATCACAATTCATATTATCACAAAAAATTAATTCATATTATCACAAAATTAAGCCTTTGCCTTTCTGTAACGAGTATACTCAAAATAGTAATTCTACTTTAAGTATATCATTCTATTATTCATATAACACAACTTTATCGATACATTCCTTCATTTTTTTCTTTCCACACAGCTCCAAGTATTTCTATTTTCTGCTGCATACATTTCGCAAAGCATGGACTCATCAACGTTTTATATCATTCAGAAAAAATCGATATACTGATAAGAAAAATTTGCGTATAACATCTAGAAACGACTCCTAAACTTGACAGTTCTGATCAAAATTAGCACTATTGATAAATAAGCAAAGGAAGAATTAAAATATATAAATTAGCAAGTAAATTCAGCAATCAACCATTCTGTTCCCATAAATTTCGTTTTTCTTACTGTAAAAAAATTTGACATCAATTGCTATGAAATAATGATGGAAAAAAATCTATAAAACTGTAAAAGCATTATTGTGAATTATTTTGATAGCAATCTCCCATAACTTTCATATTTATGCTAATTTCATCGAAATTATACATAGCGACCGCATCAATTCTGACGTTCCAAAAATTTCTCGTTTTTCCTAAAAATCAGAAATAAATTCTCTTTTGCAATGATCAATTAAGCCTAAGACAATAAATAAATTGAAATCTCGAAAAAGAAGTCTAAATCATTGAACAGGTAATCATTTATCAGATCACTTCATTACTGCCAGCAAAACTCCTATTCACTATCAATTAGTAAAAAGTTAACTTTACTATGCCTTACAGTATGAATAATTGTTTATAAAATCTCAATCATTCATCATTTTTTATCAAATGATAGCATAAATTATTGAGCAATTTCCACAAACTTTTTTTCACTGTTTAGTCGAATAGAGCAAAATATGTCTTATCGAACTCATAACATCTTCATTTTCAAAAATTCGTAAAAATACAAATCCAATTTTGATGCCAATTAAACCATGCGATCGATTCTTTGCAGTAAAATGACATTGTGTTCTTTATAATTATCAAAACCTGCAAATATATGATAAGCTGTTTAAGTGATAATGACTCGAACAGTTTAGTGGTCATCTGTTGGGTCACAAACAATCATTTGGTGGATCGTACACAACAATACATTTGTTGTACGAAATGGAATATATGAATAATATAAACGCTTACCAAATTCAACGATGCATTCCATTCATCATTACCATTATCAAACAATAACTTAATGGTAACTGTATTAACACCCATATCCTTCATAAATTTCCACTGTATTTAAATGATACTATTCACTCTAACACTCTCTTACAAATACTATCTGCAACATTTTCATCCACATATCTAATCTCCTTTTATCTCTACTACATGCAACAATGTCATCAATCTCTGCTCTCTCTTCCACATACAGCAACAATTATTTCACTCTCATTTACTGCATCTCTACTATAATTCTGTGCTCTTTGTGCATTTTCTAAATGTTTATTATATTATACAATATTTTGTTACATTTTGCAATCTCTTTCACACTTTTTTTCATCATCTTTACACATTTAATCATCGATATTTCTCGATTATCAAAAATTTTAAATTTGAAATGACGGGAAGTTTTTTTTCAAAAATATTTTGGAAAATTTTTTCCTTTTTTTATTTTCTCGACAAAGATTGATGGGTAATGAAAAAGATGAAGTATTGGAATTAAAATTTTGAAATTGAAAGAGATTTAAGAGATTTAAAGGAGTTTCCGATGAAAAGCCAAACAAATAATTGAGTTTCGATTTAAAAAAGCTGTAAAACATAAGAAAAAATTGAATGTTGTAATTCAATAATCTATTTTGCTTAATTTATGATGGTGTTTGATGGAAAGTTCAATAATCATAGATTACTATGATTACTGAACTTTTCATGAGAAATTTGCTCCTTTTCGTCGCTCCATTCCTTAACACTAAAATATTTAAATGAAATTAAATTGTTGTCAAATTTTCCCTAATTTTAATAGACTTAGTAAAATTTAAAATTAAAATTTCGTAATTTTATTTTACTTTAACTATCATTTGAAAGTCTAAATTAATAGTTAAAAAGAAAATGAAAAGATGGTAATTTAATAGTATAAGCTTTTGCAAGATAATAGTTGATGACAAAGAAAGCACTAAAAATATTTTGTCATGAGAGAAAACAGAAATAAAAATAATGACAGAATGAAGTCTGAGAGAGAGAGAGAGAGAGAAAAGAAAAAAAAGATATGGAAAACGAAAATTAACCATAAAATTTTTCATTCTTTTTATTTTTATGATACACGATTTTTTTTAAATTAATTATCAAAAATTCAAAGTTCTTTTTTTTTTGCTGAATTTTTAAAGCTGTAAATATTGCTAGAGAACTATCATTATACCTAAATAATTTATTAGTTCGTTCATAACCGTTGATTTTTTTCTGTTCAAATCTATGCAATTTTTTATTACTTTATTTAAATGTCTTTGATTACTTTTTCTTGTTATTAAATTTTTAATAGCTTGCAGTACATTTTATCATCAAATCGATTCGAGTTTGGCTTTTTATTATGTCAAAAAGTTCAAATTTTTAATTATTTAATAATTAAAATAGCAATACATTATGACAGTTAGAAGATATTGAACTAAAATACAATTTATTTAGAAATTTCTTTGTAATGGTTCAAGTTTTTATTAAGATTTTAATAAAATCAAAGCATTTGTGGTAGATTTTTGTTAGAACAATGAGGAGATAAAAAGTGACGGAAATTGAATTAGTGAATTCTGTTATAGCGTGATGGTGAATGAAATTATAGCGTGATCAATTGAAGCAAAAAAAAAAAAACAAGATTTGAACTGAAGTAAATTTTAAAATGAAAATTGTCAATAGTTTGAATATTATAGTATGTAAATAATATACGAAATGATTATCAATATAAGTTGATAGTTAAGATAAAAAGTGATGGCATTGATGATTGTAATAAATAGGTGTAGAGTTATAACAAAGTAAAGATAAACATTGCAAAGTATAACATGTCGTGGATGTGCTATTTATTTTTATTTAACATCCAATTAAAATCAATTTGATTCATTCTGTAAATAATTTCTATTCATATAAAGCCAACAGAAATTATTGGGAATAAACTAAGCATATATCATTAAGGATTCTTTTAATTCTCTTTTTTGTGAAAAACAAAAAATTGTAAAATTAGTTCTCATCTGCAATTCAAGCTTATATTTAAAATTCGTTATAAGAACAACAACAGCTTATTTAAGCAATTTAAATATGTATTGAAGAAGCAATTCAATGAGTGGGAGGGGATTTGTTTGCGTTTATGTGAATGTTTGTGTCTATAAAAAGATTAATTATTTTTATAAAATCAATTTTTAAAGCGAATAAGCTGAAGTAAGAAACAATTTTGAATAGTAAAGAAGTAATTGTAAAATTGAAAAATAATTTTATATAATAGATAAAATGTGAAAAACATGAATTAAAAATTTTCAACCATATTTGTATATTTTTAATCACTTTCAATTGTAACTTTTTTAAAAATTCCTTTTAGTTGTAAAAAATTTCTAGTAAAATGTTTTTCACTATTTAATTTTGATCGTCAAAAAGTTTGTAAAGATTTCAATTAAAAATTTTTCATGCAATGTTTAAATTATTTCCGGAATTTCTCATGTATCTGATTTTAAATTAGTTTTGAATAATTTTCATCTTGTTGAAAATCGTTTCAATTTTTTGCAGATCAATGGTTTCAACAGCACATCATTTAATAATGACTTTAAAGAACTAAACAAAATATTTATTTAAATTGGCATTGCCTTTTTTCTTTCAGTACACCAAAATAGTGCGATGAAAAGAATTACAATAAAATTAAAATAGAATGTTACAAATATATTTTTATTGGATTAAAAAAAAGTGATCGAAAAATTCTAATTTTTTACTGGAAAAATCTCTCTTCTGCTTATATTGCAATGTTTAGTGAAATAATTATAATTTGACTTTTTCTTTCTTCTTTTTTTGTTTTCCTCCAATTTCTAAATGAAATTATAATCTTGCTTTTTTTTTTTGAAATTCCTAGAAAAAATTGATAATTATAATCAATTTTACACTGCAAAATCATGTAACCAATATTTGTAAGGTATTGTAGTAGTAATTAATTACACAATTAAATGAATCCTCGATAAAGTATGAATGATCATTGTTGGTATTATATAATGCTACAATCAATTCTACAGATTTAAACAAATTTCATATCATTTTTTCTTCCATAATTCATAATTTCAAATTTATTTTAATTTATCCAATAAATCGTTATATTCGGTAGATTGGAGGAATCGCACATACGGATCGTTTTTAAGTACTTGTTCGACGTATTTCACAGCCTCATCGAACAATGTATTGTCTACATTTTTTGTTTCAATTCGATTATCAATTACTTGACGTAAACCAAATGGTAGAAATATCTGAATGAAAATATTTTTGTAATGAATGATTATTTCAGCATTTCTAATTTTTCCTTTGACTCGTAGAATTATGAATTCTAAGATATCTTAAAGAGTTCAAAATATAATCAAATTAAAAAATAAATGTGATAAATTTCACTGAAGAAAATTCGACATTCATCAATGTAAGCTGTTCATTTATTTATTTAAGTGTTAAAACTTAATTTTAGCATTTAATTTCTCAAATGTTTATCATTAATATTATAAATAATATAATTAACGAATTTCCCTCATATATAATTTCCTCTTAATTTAGTTGCTCTTATTGTTTATGTAATTGTTATTGTTATTGTTTTGTTGTTCGTGTTGTCATTATTGTTGTTGTTTTTATTACCACTAATGACCGTTGTACAAATTGGTATAATGTTGTTATCGTTAAAGAAAGAAAAGCATAGCTATTTATAATTTCGCATAGCTATTTTCATTTCAATGTTAACAAAAATTTAAATTGAAATGAAAATTAATAATATAGAATTGACCTCATTAGTTGTCCCTTCAACCAGATATTGTTTTTGAATGTTTCGACTCATATTAAGCATTGCAGCACTTTTATTTTTTAGTTGCTTATACTCAATTACCGCTTCCCAAAAACGTAAATTTTCTTCTGCATGAATATTTCGCAAAAAATAGCGAAAATAATATCGACCAACCTAAAATTTGAATTTAAATGAATTCATAAATATATCAATGTTGTAATATTGATTGTTTTCTTAATAAACCTTCTTCTTCTAAACAGAAATAGAAAATGAAATCTAACTTTTTCTTATCATTTAAAAGTTTCTAGCTCAAATATGAATAGAAAATAATTAAATTTCAATAAACATAGTACATTGATGATTTTGAATTGTAACATAGAGATAAGATAAAGGAAGTGAGAGAGAATGTCACATAAGGAATTTACATTTGTTGGATTGAAATATAAAATTAATAAATGTTTGAAAATGAAAGAAGTATGGCCTGATTTCCAACAAGTGCTTCAAAACTTGTTGTCCATTTATCGGCATATGCACGTGGCATAACTTTTTCCAGAAAATTAATGTAAACATCGGATCGTTTAAATCTCGGAAATTGATCATTCTCCAGAAGTCTGTTCACTTCCTTTACGGCAAGCAAAAATGCTGCTGGATCCGGATCGTCTTGTGTTGCAGTTTCTTTAATTCTCTATAAATTTTCATTAATTTTCAATAATTTTCATCTTACACTGTAAACAATGCAAACAACACTTTTAACTTTCAACTTTCAACTTCTATAAATTTCTTTCTCAGAAAATTCCACAGCTAAATGAATAATGTAAGAAGACTTAGTAATATAACTAAGCCTTCTTACATTATTTTAAGCTTTAATCATATAATCCAGTAAAGAGGCTTAATAACATTTTTTTGACTTTAGCCTTATAATTCTTTCCTTATCATGGATTTCTATGATGTTTTAAATTGAAATTTCAGAAGAAGAATTAAATATATGAAGGATCGAAATGAATATGGACGGATAAATCTCTTAATAAATCCCTATAATTCTCTATAAATTCTATCAATAAATTAAACTTGCTAGCATTTAAAAATTATTTTCAACAATGTTATTATACCTGCAAAGCTACACTGCTGAGATTGACGTAAGGTGAATATTTTTCAAAAAACTCTTGAATGTATTGTTTTTTATCAGCTGGTGATGTCATTAGTTTGAATTTCTCGTACGATTCAATGAATGACAAATTTTCTTCCGCTAATGCATCATGCAAGAAAACACGAAACAATTGACGACCTATAAATTTGTCATTTAATTTTTTCATCATCCATCAAATTTCAAATTTTTTGGAAATAGAATAATTAATAGATTAGTAAAAAGTTCAATTTTTTAATCTTTTTTTCGACAGTATTGATATTATTTAAATGAAAAAATCAGTTTTCATTTATAGAATTTGCTACCTTTTTCATCTTTCAACACATTATGTAATGATTCACTAGCCCAGGCTGCAGCTCTCGGGTATTCAATGCCATCGGTACTTGGCAATTCAGGAGCCCGACGATCCACTCTCGAATGGACATCAAATATTGATCCTGCCTACATTGCGGTATCTCGTTTATTAATGAATTTAATAGCTAATTAACAAATTTTTACCAAAAACTTATTTTTTAAAAAAATGTATTTTCTAATTTTCTTAGTCCACTAAATAATTATATAGCAAAACATACGATAAAAATGTTAGAAAATTTAAAAATACCATATTTTTAGAAATGGATTTCTGTTGCGCGGATGCTTTTTTAACTTCTCGATCGGTTTTCGATTCTTGCTTTAATATTTTTGAATTTTTGATCAATTTTGGTTGTGATCCGTCTTGTTTCGCCTCACTTTGTTCAACAATTGCAATGGACTGCTTTTGTGATAGAACGTTTGATAAGATATTCTCTTGCTCTGATAATGTAATGCTATTGCTACAAAATTTTCCACAATTTAAATTTGAAATAACAAACAAAAAAAAAAACGAAGAATACTAGATAACATATATATATATTATATCTAAAATTTTCATTATTTTTAGAAAAGATTAATGAAAACTGAAATTTTTAATGATGAAAAAAATAATTAATGAATTGAGAAAAAGAAAACAACAGTGAATTAAATCAAAAATTCATGCTAATTTTTTGCCTCATATTAAAGCATATAAAGTTTTCTAAGTCATTCCCTAATTTATACAGTCAAAAAAATAGAAACAAAAAAAATGCAGGCAAATATAAATGCTACGGCTTTAAATATTTATAAAGCATTTAAATTATTTTTCCGGCAACAATAATGCTTCGATGATAAATAAAACTTGCAATCACGAAAAAAAAAAATTAATAAATTGAAAAACAAAAAAGTTACATGTATACATTTTTTTTTAAAAAAAAAAGAAAAAGACATTTTCAGTATTTTATAACTTAAAAAATCTTCATCAATGTTTTCATTCTCTTCACCATCTGCTTTAAAATAAATCCAAAATAACGAAAAATATCAAGAACAAAATTACTGATAATTGAATTCACACTTTATATTTATTAGAAAGTTTAAAATCAAAGAGTGTGAATTTGAATATTATATTTTTGTTTATTATAAAAATATTATGCGAAACTGAGAAATAAAAACTACAATGTATCAGTGCTCATTTATGCATGTATATGTATATGCGTGCGTGTGTGTGTGTGTGTGTGTGTGTGTATGTGTGTGTGTGTGTGTGTGTGTATGTGTGTGTGTGTGTGTGCGTGTGTGTATGTATGTGTGTGTTATGCTTTCAATTTTTGAAAAATTGAATTTGTATGAATAGGTGTGTGAATGAAAAATAAGTGAATTGAATAAGTTATCTATCCTTGAACCGCGTATACCTTTAAAGACAGCGGTAACCTAAGCAACAACTTATTCATTTATTTTTATCGAGAAAGGCAATTAAATGAATGTATTAAATATATCAACGATGCATCGATAATTGCAATCTTTTAAAACAAAGCTGCAATTTGAAATAGAGTTGTAAAAAAAATAAGTTAATTTTATTGATTAGAAATATCGCATTTCATGAATATAAACTCTTGGATGGAAATTTTATAGTGAAAATTTTTGAAATTATTGAAAAATTGAAATTGTGAATTAACAAAATATCTTTAAAACGCATAGAACAAGATTATATTCCACAAGGATTATTTTTTTTTAATTTGTGAAGTATTTCATTGATTTACTTTTCAAATATAGTAACTTTGCTAGGACATTTTTCTTTTAATGATATTTATCAATCCTTCTAAATTATTTCAGATGTTGAAAATTACAATGGGATATTTGACGATGAATTCATTGATTATGTACATATAAAAGGATCAACATCGATGATTGCTTCTAATTAGTCATTTTTAATTTCTGATAACCAATAATTTCATGCATTTCATGAAATTCTAATTCATCATTTTATTAGCAGTTCTTGAGCCAGCTTACTAATATAATCACTTAATTCTGCCATTTTTTAACTATTTCGAACCTGTAAATGAAAATTATTTGAATTTCCATTATTTGTTTACTTAAAATAGATGCAAAATAAACAACAAGCATACTAATGTTTTGTTAAATTCAAAATACTAATTAATTAACTAGAAAAAAATGTAAGCATAGAGTAGAAAATAAACATTAGAATAATTTAAAAATATATTTTAAATAATTTATTTAAAGTTTATTTTAATATTAAAAAAGAAGAAACACTTCACTCACACAAAACTTATTACTACTGTTGCATTAACCTTATAGAATACTTAATTAAATTCGATGAAAGTTTTCGAAAAATGCCAAATGAAGAGGAAATGAAAATTTGTAGAAAATGTGCAACATTTTGTCAATAAAATTTCATCCAAAATATAATTATTAATTTTTATTCTTGCAATTTAACTTTCAATTTTTTATCTTTTATTCATCTAAGTGCTTTCATATTTTATCACTTTTTTATATGTCATAACTTCTTTTTAATCAAAAATTTTAGTAAGATATCATAATTTATCATATTTTTATTTTGTCATTTCATATACTTATGCAAAAATTACACAAATATTAGATTTTATAAATTAATATTATGCTGATGCATGATCCTTTAAATAAAGTTTGTCATTCTTATCACTCACCGTTATTAATTTAGTTTAAACTACGTTAAAATTGAATATCCTGAATTTCAAATTAAATAATTTAGTCCAACGTCAACATGAATTACTAATTTTTTATATACCGTCAAACAAATATCTTTATAATTTATTTATTTAAAATATTTGGGATCATTTACTGCTTCACCCAAACTTATTGATTAAATTTTGTATTTTTGATCTGAAAAAAGGCACTATTCTCGACAATTGTTTTTTTTTCTTCTATCAATTTAGATTGACAACAGCGCAAGTTCATTTTAATGTGAAAAAAAGAAGAAAAAAATTAAAATGAAAAGAATTGTGAATATCAAACCTTTCAATACTCAAATCTCCCTTGAAATTCCGCCACATATGCTATCCTCTTAGGGTATTTGCTGTGATGGCGTCACTTTTGATTCCTTCCTTTCAATTAAATTTAATATCACGAATAGATGTTGAATTCTAAAAATTTAAATTTTATTTTATTAATAATATCAATCATAAAACTTTCATACATAAATAACTTAATCATCGATAGTGTAAGTAAAAAAAAAATTCTTTTTTGATATAATTAATGTAGTGTTTTTTTTT